TTGCGCTTGCCAGGCAGGCGCTTTTGCCGCTGAGCTAAATCTCCAGCCCCCCCCCCCCGTTGCCCCTTAATGTTACACACATGCACCCACGTGTCATTAACGCTTCAACCACGTGAGCCGTGGCTGCGTGTCCCTTTGTGCCTTGGTGTCCCGAGCCAGCGAGGATCCTGTGAGACTCTGCGCCCCATGCCCAGCCCAGCACTGCCCCTTCCGTGGCCCCCTGCTCCACCCACTAAGGTGGCAGCCAAGATCAGGGGCTGAGAGCTGGGACTCTGGGACCAGACGGCCTGTATCTAATCCCAAATCTGTCCCCTTCTGTGCGAACTTGGGTGAGTTACTGCATCTCTGTGTCCCACTCATACCCCCTCATGGGGCACTCCTGTGCTGGATGAGAAAGATATCACATGGCAGCATGTGCTTTCACTTCTTATGAGTACATGTTTGCAACACATAATATGGTCATCAGCCGCAGGTGGCACACGTACACATGGCTCCTTAGTCCTTTTCCCTTACCATTCCTCTGTCCTCATCCCCCCTCCCTCCTCCTCTAGCTCTGGGTTCCATCTACAAACGTTCTCCCTGCCTAGTTCATCTTTTCTTTTGCTCTTTAAATTATTTACACTTTGGGCTGGGGATTTAGCTCAGCGGCACAGTGCCTGCCTGGCAAGCACAAGGTCGTGAGTTCAAGTCCCGGTACCGGAGAAAAACCAAAAAAAAAAAATTATTTACACTTTGAGTTCCTCCTATCAGAGCAACCATGTGATATTTAACCTTGTGTCTGATTTATTTCTCTTAACATTAGTTTGCAAGATGCATCCATTTACCTATAAATGACTCAGATTTATCCTTCATGGCAGATTAGTAGCCCAAGGTGTATAAATACCAGACTTTCTTTATCCATTCATCTGTGAATAAACATATAGGCCTTTTCTGAGATTTAGCTATTGTGAGTTGGCAGCACGTGTATTATAACACCTACGGGTCTTATACCAGCCCTGAGCAAACGTGGAAACACCTCTAGAGTGAAGTATTTTAATCCTCACGTGACCGGGAGTGATAAAAGCTTTAACCTCGTGTGAGTTCTGATCAAATACTGCTACCAAACGGAATTTGGTGTCGATGCTATGAAAAATCTGATTTTTCAGGGTTGACAAATTTGGGGGCTGCAGGTATTGAATACAAGGTTTGTAATGGTACTGATTTTACAAGGCAGTTAGGAGGATTAAATGAGTTATTACTTAAAAGCGTTCAGAAGAGTATCTGGAACCAAATATGTGTTAATGGATGTTAGCTGCTGGTATTACAATGCTTTGTCCTTGTTTAAAAATAGGTGTGATTTACATATAAAATGCCCCCACCTTAGGCAAGTGGTTGGCGAGTTTTGACAGCTACATTCACCCGCGTAACCACCACCTCAACTCACAACATTCCGATCACCATCCCTCCGTGGTCCCCTCCTACCCCGCCCTGTGCCCTCACCCCACCCACACACACAGAGACACCCGCTGGGAACATCTGGAGCTGGACCTCAGCACCCGCTCCCCTCCCCGCAGCGGCTCCCTCTGTCAGGTCAGCTTCCGCCTAGCGCAATGCCGGGGAGCCCCATGGTGGGTGGCCAGCAGTCCCTCCCTCCCCGCAGGCGGCTGGCTCTTCCCCATTGGTGGACACTTGGGTGGTTCCCTGCAGGCTGTAAAGAACAGGACTTCTGTGAACACCCACGTGTCAGCTGTCCTGTTACTCTTGAGGACACACCCAGGAGGAGTGTGATGGCCAGTGTGTGGCAGCTCTAGATTTTTGTTAGGTTCGTAGGATTTTTTTTTTGCTTTTTTTTTTTTTTTTTTTTTTTTTTTTTTTTTTTTTTAAAGGATAAAAGGAGGGAAACATTAACAGACATACAACATTTTACAACATATCACAAGCACAATACAGACAATACAGAGTTACAAACAAAGTGGTAGGGAATTAACAATGGTGGTTGTATTACATATTGATATCTTCAAAGTGGCTTCTCATGAAAACAGATATTTTTGCTTTTTTGAGACAAGGTCTCCATATACAGTCCAAGCTGGCCTTGAACTCACTATGTAGTCGTGCTGCCTTCAAACTCAAGATCCACCTGCCTCAGCCTCCCAGGTGTTGGGATTACAGGCGCACATGTGCTACCACTCCAAACCGGCAGCTCTAGAGTTAACTTTGTAAGCAGCTATCAGACTGTTTTCCAAAGTAGCCATTTCATCCCACACTCCCACCATCCCTCTATCACACCCTGGCCACTGTTACTGCCGACCTTACTGACTCCTGTCCCCCACCCCAGGTGATCCGCACGGACACGTTCAAGCACCTGCGGCACCTGGAGATCCTGCAGCTGAGCAAGAACCTGGTGCGCAAGATCGAGGTGGGCGCCTTCAACGGGCTACCCAGCCTGAACACGCTGGAGCTCTTCGACAACCGGCTGACCACGGTGCCCACACAGGCCTTCGAGTACTTGTCCAAGCTGCGGGAGCTCTGGCTGCGCAACAACCCCATAGAGAGCATCCCCTCCTACGCCTTCAACCGCGTGCCCTCCCTGCGCCGCCTGGACCTGGGCGAGCTCAAGCGGCTGGAGTACATCTCCGAGGCGGCCTTCGAGGGGCTGGTCAACCTGCGCTACCTCAACCTGGGCATGTGCAACCTCAAGGATATCCCCAACCTGACGGCCCTCGTGCGCCTGGAGGAGCTGGAGCTGTCGGGCAACCGGCTGGACCTGATCCGCCCCGGCTCCTTCCAGGGCCTCACCAGCCTGCGAAAGCTGTGGCTCATGCACGCCCAGGTGGCCACCATCGAGCGCAACGCCTTCGACGACCTCAAGTCGCTGGAGGAGCTCAACCTGTCCCACAACAACCTGATGTCGCTCCCCCACGACCTCTTCACGCCCCTGCACCGCCTCGAGCGCGTGCACCTCAACCATAACCCCTGGCACTGCAACTGCGACGTGCTCTGGCTGAGCTGGTGGCTCAAGGAGACGGTGCCCAGCAACACCACCTGCTGCGCACGCTGCCACGCGCCCGCGGGGCTCAAGGGCCGCTACATCGGCGAGCTCGACCAGTCGCACTTCACCTGCTACGCGCCGGTCATCGTGGAGCCGCCCACGGACCTCAACGTCACCGAGGGCATGGCGGCCGAGCTCAAGTGCCGCACCGGCACCTCCATGACCTCGGTGAACTGGCTGACGCCCAACGGCACGCTCATGACGCACGGCTCCTACCGCGTGCGCATCTCCGTGCTGCACGACGGCACGCTCAACTTCACCAACGTCACCGTGCAGGACACCGGCCAGTACACGTGCATGGTGACGAACTCGGCCGGCAACACCACGGCCTCCGCCACGCTCAACGTCTCCGCCGTGGACCCTGTGGCTGCGGGGGGCGGCGCCGGAGCCCCGGGGGGCGGCGCGG